CTATTTCAGATTTTCAATACACTCCATTCTGTGTGATAAGCGTTATAAGCGTTTTGAAAAGTGGGGACATGGGGTAATGTCCTGAAAAGTCACCTTCTCCTTGTAATACCTGTCATACCTTTGTCATTAAACAAATGTATGTCCTCATTTGTCACAAAAACGCGCGCACACACACACACACACACACACATGTTGTGTTTCAGTGTTTTATGGGGACATTCCATAGGCGTAATGGTTTTTATACTGTACAAACTGTATGTGCTATTGCCCTACACCAACCCTACCCCTAAACCTACCCCTCACAGGAAACTGTGCATTTTTACTTTCTCAAAAAAACTCATTCTGTATGATTTATAAGCTTGTTTCCTCATGGGGACCTCAAAAATGTCCATTTGGGACATTTGGTCCCCATAACGTGATAAATACCAGGTACACACACAAACACACACACACACAATCTGTGCTCAATGCCTCAAACTACAGCAGCCAGTGAAAGATTTATAAGCTCTGACAAAGAAACTGAAGAGCAAAGACAGAAGTATTATTCACAGAGACATAAACATAACACACAGTAAGCGCTTGAATTGGCTACAGAAACCAAAGATACACAAAATACATACGATGGCTGTCAAATGAATTTACTCAGGACCTAGATTTACATTGGAGATCAAACGGTGACCCAACAACAATACCAGAAGTGATTATTATACAAACATATTTGAAAAGGTTCATTGACATTATGCTGATTTTTTTTATTTTTTATGGCAAAATTGTCAGGGTTATAGAGCTCTCTTGATATCTTAATTGAAAAGAAAGTCTTTTTAAAATTGTTGGTCAACCAACATGTTTTTTTTTTGTTGAACATCTGACATCTTTGGGAGCAGGATGGCTGATATAGAGCAGATATCGAGAGTGTTTACATTCATGTTCTTAACCCAATCATGCTTGGTAAGCCGACTGTGTCATATAAACATGTTAACCCATTTTTCTTTATTGGAGGAAGATTATAAACGGCTTGAGCATAAACCGATCGACACAAATTTGCCAATCACACAAATTTTGCCTGGGTTTGTGAGATAAAATGACTCGTATTGTGAAATAAGATTTTTAGTTATGTGTGTTCGCCATGCTTTGCCGGCATAGGTTACATACAGTAAATGGTCAAAACATATATCTGGGAAAATGTATAACTAAAATATTTTGATAATACATTTAGGTTATATCCATGGGCATTTTTGTATTTTTGAAATACATGAAAAAACGAGTAAAAAAAATTTGGGTCACTTTTTCATCTGTTTTATTTCCTTGTGCGGTTTGAAATGGCTTATTTGTGCTTTTGGACTGGAATATCATGCATGTTCAAAACAGTGCAAAAGCCATTCTATATGTTTTATTCAATGGAGGGCAACAACAAGAAGATCTTGTTTCTAAAACAAAATCACTAAACCTGAAAACATCATTGCTCTGAACTCCACCATTTGAACCATTTCCTTTTCTAGGGGCCCAAGCACCTCCGTTTCTTCTTTTCTGCCCTAAAAGTGTCTGGGCGTCAGAGACCATAAATCGCAGAGACCCCAAACTTGGCTGGATGGTGCCGAAGGAGCACACATCCGTTTGGCACTAGGTGGCACTATAATAAGGACATTTACATGTACGTCGCTATGTGGATTATTGTGTCTCTCATTCTGACGGCACCCATTCATTTGATAAGCAAATGCAATGATGAAATGCTAAATTTCTCCAAATCTGGTGAAGAAACAAACCCATCTACATCTTGAATGGCCTGAGGGTGAGCACATTTTTATTTTGGGGGTGAACTGTTCCTTCAACATATCAATGAGATTTCTTCTGCTCTTTCTCTAATCCTTCCTGGTTTGTTCGTGTCTCGGAAGTGGAAGTCAGTGGAGTCACATTTCAAATCTTAAAGATGCCGCGGAAATGATTCGCAACAGTGGTGTCCGATTTAGATCAACATTATGAGAAGGCCTTCCTTTTAATCCTCTTGACATTTCAGTTGAGGGTGGCCATCTTATTGTAATGTCACGGAGGAAGACAAACAGGAAGGGAAAAGGCCATTCTATGTATATCTCGGGAGGAAAATCTCATAGCTTTGGAAACGTTGTGCTCAGTCTGTGAGTTCTTGTGTCACAATAATCGCAGCTATATGATGACCGCTCATGACTGTGTCTCTCAGGGAAATGGGATGAGTAAGACATTGGGAGAGAAATTGACTGTAATCTGGTTGTGCTTGTGTCTGAAGAACCACTAATATTTCGCCATATAAACTCTGCAAGGGCTTATAGCTTCATGCATATTAGAAACAGGGCTTAATTATTCAACGATTTGATGAGTTGTGCTTATTCTGTGAATGATCAAAGTCAGGCAATATGCAGACTACTTAAAAGGCGAAATAGGAGTTTAGAAAGGCTGTGGGCTTTAAATTACCCCATAATATGACAAATCCAGCTGTTCATCTGCAGGGAAACTTTATCTTTATTAACAAACCACATATTTGAATTCTAAACTGGTACATTCTCACCTAAAAAACTCTTATTCCGTGACACAAAACCAGTATTGATTTTTAAAATAGTGGATTTGGGCATCCGACACTTGCTGTGAGAAATACGGTTAGAACGCTAGAATATCACACTCTTATCAGCCAATCAGATTTGAGGACCAGAAAGAACTGTTGTATAACATGTATGTATTTTATGTTGAATGCAACTGAATTTTTTCAGCGCTTATTCTAATCTTGTAGATAGATTTTTGAATTTTGCTTGTGGTTTCACACATTTAAAAAACTAATGAACAATAAATAATCAATTAATTCATATTTTTTTTAAAGTTATTCTGTTATTCTATTCTATTATTCGGTTTATTATCTTACTAAATTCAGTGTATATATTTTTTATTTCTTTAATTAGCTATTTTTGATTTAAAACACATATACAGTACAATACAAATATATATGAAATACAATACAATTGTATTCATTTATGATCTATTAAAAAAGCAAAACACATTTAAAAGTAATTAAAACGCACACATGTGTATTTCTAAATGTTACTTTCCAAAATGGCATAACATTTTAAAAGTTACTTATTAATTTATTGAAATTTGTAAAAAGAAAAAAACATACACACACAAAGAATTTCTTGAAATCAAATATTACAATTTCATTTGAAATATGTATTTAATTAACCCGTTTAATCCCACAATAGTGACCGTAACAAAAAGTTTTCATTTATAAAGCTCTAAAAACCTTACTGACTGATGCTTTAGTGCACTTCCTACAAATATGGAAAAAATAAAGGGTCTCAATGAAATCTGTGCAGTTTCACATGATTAGTGCAAACTGTCACGTGCCCAGAGCAGTGTATTTCCTGTTTGCACCTTGAGAAGATGATAACTGCATCAAAGCTAGTAAAGTATGTTAGCATAAAGATATGACAAAGATTTTTGGTGCACGTTATCTTTAAGGTGTCTAGTATTAATATATGAATTCACATGTATTCAGTTTTGTTGAGTGTGGTCATAGAACGAGTAAACATGTTGATGAATCCAATTGCAGTTGCTAGTGAATATTACACTAAAATGCTGCAATGACCAAATATTGCACTAAATTAAAAATTCTAATGTTACAAAAAATGTACAATATTGATGTAATACTGGTAGCACTAATAGACAAATGTGATGTTATATTTGACAAAAAAGTAACTATTTTGAAATGCGTTGATGGTTGAATTTTTTTGTGTTCCTATCAATGTCGCATAACGTTTTGTTTATGCATAATAATAATAATAACCCTAGAATGTGATCAAACTGTTTAAAATAGCTGGGCTAAGATATATAACCATTTTTATGACCGCAGAAAAATGTTAATTCAGTACTCGCCTTATCCCACCGGTCACAATAGTGACCGACCATAAAACACAATTTTCCACACAATTCCCCCCCCCCAAAAAATGCAAAAAAAAAACACATAATTTGGATATTTTCATGTCAGGGCAACATTTGGGATTAAACGGGTTAAAAGCATCTTTAACTTTTTAATGTATTATTAGCTAATGAATTAAAAAAACGCACGTTTCAGACAAACAAACATTATTTTAATGAATACATGTCAAATAGCCTAATTATGAAAAAAAATAATAATAATTATGCATTTATTGTTAATTGTAAAAATGCACTTTCCTAAGTCGGTCAAAAATGAATGAACTAAATAGAAAGTGAGTTCATCTTTTATATTAATTTATAAATAACCTTTCTAAATAGCACTTCATACCATGCACCAGACATTAATCATAAACATTGATTTTTTTAGTGTTGATATCGTCTGTCAAATGATGGAAACATCAAATCAAATTAGGTGAGATCATCGCAGCAAACGATTAAACGTTAATGCATGGCGCGCTGGAGCTCCGCCGGTGGCTGGACACCGTTCCTGCCCATAACGGCTCCGCCCAAGTTCGGTTGCCCAGCAGCGAATCTCCGAATCGTACTACGGGAACGGCTGGCCTTATGAATATTAATTACGCAACGGTGACGTTCGGCTATTGATAATGCCTGCCTCATGAATATTAATGAACCCCATAAACATTGATTTTTTTAGTGTTGATATCGTCTGTCAAATGATGGAAACATCAAATCAAATTAGGTGAGATCATCGCAGCAAACGATTAAACGTTAATGCATGGCGCTCTTCCAGATGATCTGTCGCGCTGGAGCTCCGCCGGTGGCTGGACACCGTTCCTGCCCATAACGGCTCCGCCCAAGTTCGGTTGCCCAGCAGCGAATCTCCGAATCGTACTACGGGAACGGCTGGCCTTATGAATATTAATTACGCAACGGTGACGTTCGGCTATTGATAATGCCTGCCTCATGAATATTAATGAACCTAGCGCACGGATGCTCAACGTAACGTCAAGATGACCTATTTAATAATTCATGAGCTGTGCCGGTACCACAGTAGGATTCGTAATGTCGCTCCGCGGCAGCGTAATGGATGCTCAGTTGAACGCGGGGATCGAGAGTCGGTCGCACCGTAGGACTGGAAGCGGAGCTTGTGGGATTTAAGAGACTCGTTGCTACATAGTTTATCAGACTAAAGGCGTGACAACACCCGCGCGCAGAGACCGACGCATCGCATCGCATCCGAGAAACAAAGCGTTTGTTTCGCAGAGAGCACGAGAGGAATCAAAATGTCAGATGCAGCTAACGGTACCGGAGCTTACGGACGCCAATAGAGCATTGTTATTGTTTTGATGCTGACCGGCTCTCTGTTAACGGCGGACGCGGCGTTTAGGTGCATGCGTTTGAGTAAGTTGCGCGTGGACTTGGATGGGTAGCAGGTGCATGAGCGCATCACCTATGAGCCATGCGATTATTATTCACGATGCATATTCGTGTTTTAATAAGATCTGAGGATAAATCAGCATTTATTTGATTGCATTGCGTTTTTCTTCTCCATTGCAATGCGATAAAGCACCAGTCGCGTGATGTTCAAATTGACTGTTGCATACTGAATCAATGCAGCCACTCGAATGCATATTTAATTCATTAAATCGTAAGTGTCTTATGTTTATTTAGATGTTTTTTTTTGTACGTTACTACGGTTTGATTCTAGACGTGCTGTACAAATCATAATAGCAAAATATAACCTAATTGCTGCCTTCAATTCTGAATTCAATTCAAAAAGTGTTGCCAGTCATTCATAACCTGCAGTGATAAGTTCATTGCACTTTTTTTTGACCACTTCAAAGCGAATTACTCAAAGAAGATGTGTAGAAATCTAAGTCTAATCAAATTTACAATGCATGATATGTATATGCTATTGTATGATGTGGTCTCATGCTAAATATTGCATTTGTTAATTGAGTGGTTTTATTGCTAACATGGCTGTTTAAAATGGCAACAAATCTAAAAAAGCATCCCAGAAAGGAGCAGCTTCACAATTGAGGTTCTACAGTTAAGATTGTGTTGTTTATTGTTAATTAAAAGTGAAACCGCAATGTTAAAAAGTTAGATTGGATATTTGAGTGAAAGCTTTAAATCCAGAGGATGATCCTTTCTGGAGTGGCTGGACTGCTGTCAGAGCGGCTTTCACAAGATTAACAGCCCGCTGCTCTTTTCTTTGGCTGCAATCAAACCGTTTACGGGACTATTCGCCATCTCTACCTGTTTTTAAAACTTGTTTGTGCTAAATGGGACTTAAATGAAGTCCATCTGAAGTCACAGACAGTGACATGGCTTGTAAATCATGTCTGATCCTTCTATAGAGTTAGAACAGTAAGAAACCCATTGAGGAAATGGCATTGTCTTTAAAGCGAGAAGCAGCTGACTTTTTTCTGCTGCTGTAATGTGACATTGCGACATCTTTTTGTGAAACGTGCCAAACCGAGAAGCAGCTGACAAATTGTAAATATGACTTTGTGACATAAAGAGTCTTAACTTTTAGCAAAACAAGACATTTATGACATTGTGACGGTACAAATTTAAGCGCGGCGAACTGAGAAGCAGCTGACACTTTCATTCTGCTGCTGTTGCGAAGATGAGATTGTGATACCGGGAGTTTATTTGCGGCAAACCGAACCTGGTGCTTGCTGCAAATATGACATTGTGACATCAGGACTCGTTCTCTGAAGCGCCAGACTGAAGAGCGGCTGACACTCTCTTTTTTGCTGCTGCTGCTGCTGATGATGCTGCGGCTGCGAAAATGCTGCGATTCCCTGTGAAGAAAATACGAAAGCAGTTCAAACTTCTGCTGCTGCTGGTGCTGCTCACTTTCGCCGTGTGGTTTACGTACCTGCACATCAACCAGGGCAAATCCATCAAACTTCACTTCAACTATGGAAAAGGTAAGCTGTGTTTGGTTTTTATATTTTAGATGATATGAAAATAATAATTTAGGATGTGAAAGGAGTTTTTTTTTTTCTTCCTGGTGTAATTTTTGAGCGTCGAGGAGAAATGAAGCTGAGGTTCAGAATGAAAGCAAGATGAATAGGAACTGCTGTATTATCAATTGCATTATTAACTTTAATTAACTAGGGCACCGGCGCTGATACTGAGTTTCAACATCAGCGTCCGGCACATTTTAATAGTTGGCAGATCCAAATTGACATTTTAGGAGTGTAACATTAGTATTATCAGCTTTTTGAATGCATTAGTATTGAATCATTTTGCACAGAAAGCTGAAATATTGAATTAAATTAAGTTGATATTATATTGGTTTCTTTAGAAGGTGCTAAAATTATGCAAATATGGACAACATAAGCAGACATGTTCAGATGAGCGGTATTAGAGCGTAGTCAGCTATGATGAATCTTGAGAGAAACTAGATTCTCGGCTTTATGATTAAGCAGAAGTGTGTTTGCAGAAGCCATGTGCTTGTGAGAATCTTCTTTACCTCTGCAAAACAGATTCAAACACACACACACACACACACTCACTCATGAAAATTGCTCATTGTGATATTATATTGGCAGCTGTGTGGCAAGAACTTATTTTATTAATAAATTATTATACAAAAATAAGAATTTATTGAACAATTGAAAAAAAAGAAACCCCCACACACAGGTGTTTTACTAAATTTACTAAAATGTACTTTTAATAAAATGACATCAGCTTCAAGTCTGTATATTAAGAGGAAAAGTGCAGTAACGTTTACTGTTGTTTGCTGAATTTTCACAGCTGAAATTCAATTATTTTAAAAGAAATTTGTGAATTTTGCATGAGTGTGAAAGATTTCCCTGTGCTGAAAGTGTTTAAGTTTTCACCAAAGCTTCCAAATTTACCAACATTTAATATTGAAAAAATGGCATCAGCTTCAGATCTGCATATTAAAAGTAAAGGTGCAGTCACATTTTCTGCTGTTCACTGAATTTTCACAGACACAATGTTGTAATTTAATAGGAATCCAAGTGATTGTGAATTTTGTGCAAGAGGGCGAAAGATTTCCCCACTCAGATTTTGCATTGTGTTCTGTTGGTCATGTGAATTTGCCACTTTGACCAACAGAAAGCTGCTTGGTTTGAAAGTCTTCCAAGTTTTCACCAAAGCTTCCAAATTTACCAAAATGTTAGATAAAAAAAATGACATCCTCTTCAGATCTGCGTATTAACAATAAAGTCACCGTACATTTACCATTGTTAACTGAAAGTATGTCTGTATATTAAGAATGACGATGTAGTCACGTTTACCATTGTTTTAGATTAGAAATCCTGGACTCTTTTTGCATGTTTGTGAAAGATTTTCCCACAGATTTTGCATCGGGTTCTGTTGGTCTTGTTAATTTGCCGTGTTGACCAACTGAAAGCTGCTTGGTTTGAAAGCGTTCAAGTTTTCACCAAAGCTTCCAAATTTACCAAAATTTTACATAAAAAAAATAACATCAGCTACAGGTCTATATATTAAAGAATAGGCCTAAACAGATGGTACATTTACCATTGTTCACTGTATTTGCTGCAGCCAAAATTCAGTAATTTCAATAGGAATCCATGTAATTGTGGTGATTTCGCTTGAGGGTGAAACATTTCCCCAAGCAGATTTTGCTAAATTTTCAGTTGTTCAACTGAATTTGGTGTGTTGACCAACAGATAGCTTCTTGGTTTGACTTCTGTGTAAGTTGTGCTTTATACATTGCTACACTATTGACAATATACAATAGGCTTTTTAAGTGAAATTTTAGTAATTTGACAGCACCTTAAAGCTTATATTAAAAGCACTAGTCTGCTAACACCGTGCGCTAGACCTCTAGAGCCCATCTGACAACAACTTTTTTGTGTCCGACACTCTAGAAGAGGATCTCCTTTCTCATTAACAGCTGCTAAAAGCTCTGTGTGGTTTGGCATCTCTCCCTTGCTGCCCCAAACTGACCTCAATCGTAACCCAGGAACTTCAGCCTCTGTCTGGCCGCTCCAGTCTTTGACTGGGCCACCAAATCACTCCTCTCGCGAAAGAGAAGAGCACTGGAATCACTCAAGTGCGAAAAGGCCGTGCAAATCCTGCATTAGCACAAAGAAGATGATGTCTGAAAAATAACGTGGCACCGCACCAAGCCATCTACGGCGAAATTAAAAAGTCTGGGGCTCGCCGAGTGATGTTACTGACATTTTAATCAGAGTTTTTGGCTGTGCGTGTTTGCACAAATAGGCTGATTTATTTTCACCCGAGGACTCACAGTGGTCACCTTATTCCCAGTTACAGGCTCCGTAGGGCTGGGTCAAGATGTAGCCGTGCACCAGCTGTGATAGGTTGCTGTGAACAAGGGTCTTTTTAAGCAACCAAGTGTGAAGGAATGTGTTGAAGTAGCAGGCGGGTCATTCCTGTTATGCAGTACCTTTTGAACTCTGCAAGTTTTTAAAAATGAATGTGCTTAGGTTGTAATTTGTAGAGGTATTGCTATGAAAGCATATATTAGACTTGCAAATATATTCTCTGGTCAAGCTCAGGCACTTAAACGTCATTAATTATAACCTATTTGCACGATGGCAAGGAAATGAACAGGATGGAAATAAAAAGCTAAAGTTAGCCATTGCTCAGTGTGGGATTTTGAGTTGGCTTGCATGAGGTCAGGAAGTTAATTATGATATATTTTTAAGCATCTTTTATAACACAGATTTCTGTTGCCGCATATAACATTATGTATTTTTTAAAATTATATTTTCTCGTTTCTATTTTTTATTTATTAATGCTCAAACAGCGATTACAAAAACAACATTTCTAAGGGATTATATACAAATAAAAACCAACAATAGATCAGTTCTACATAATAAACACACACACACCCACACATCAAATTGAGAATAGTTAGAAAACAAAAGAATGGCATAAAGATGGGATAAAAGCCAAAATAATCTAAAAGTTGTACAAAAACATAACCTTAAAGGGGTCATATGATGCTTTTTTAAAGATCATTATTTTGTGTATTTGGTGTAACAGAATATGTTGACATGCTTTAATGTTCAAAAAACACATTATTTTTCAAATACTGTACATTATTGTAGGTCCTCTATGCCCCGCCTCTCTCAAACGCTTCGTTTTCTACAAAGGCCCTCCTTCCGACAAGCGCAGTCTGCTCTGATTGGCCAGCTGACCCAGTGCATTGTGATTGGCCGAACACCGCAAGCACTCGTCGGAAATGTAACGCCCCTTACCATAATCACCAGCTTCATCTTTCAAAATAAATGTAAAGACAGAGCCTGAAAGGGGAACAGAGTTGCGTGACAGACACAGTGATGAAGCTGGTATGTGTTTGCAGTACACAAGCCACGGTTAAGACAACTGACTCCATTGTGATGTGACCCCCCCGCTCGCTCTCGCTCTCGCTCACTCGCTCGCGCGCACACACACACACGATGAGCAAAACTCCGCATTTGAACAGTCAATAGCAAATACCAGATTGTCATAGCAAAGTCAGAATGACCTCCTCTCCTAGGTTCACGAAACGGTCGTCCGTAAAATGCATTGCTGTTCTGTTGTAAGTAATCTTAAAGATTCCTAAATGCATCTACTTCCGGAAGACCAAATAAAGTGCTTTTGCTTTCTCCTAGAAACACACAGCGTCTCCCTGACATGCTGCTTCAACACTAACTGCGGTTACTGAAACCAAGCCTCCTTTCTTTGCGTGCACATTTGGGCGGCATTATGCTAATATTTCCACAGTGACGTAGACATGTGGGGGCGTGTTCGAACGAGCTGTTTTAGGGGGGCGTGGCAGAGTCTTAACTTTGATAAAAGAATATATCTTTGATTTTGAGACTTTAGTCTTTGCAACTTCAGGGATCTTATCTATGCACAATCAGCTTGTAACACTCCAAAGAGAAAAGAAAGCTTTAAATCGCATCATATGACCCCTTTAAAAAAAAATTATGTTTGCAGTTCAGAAGGCTCTAATTAACTAATCTTTAACTCAAATTTAATTTAACTAATGTTTATATTTCAGTTTTATGTATTTGACATTTATTCAGTGACTTAGATAGCATTCAACTATATACTGTATTTTATCAGCACATGCTAAAATTAAATTAGCAGTAATGGGTAGTTTTTTTTGTTTTTCATTTAAAACATGCAGTTAGAAATTAAGTCTCTTTATGTTGATAGAAGTGTAGTTTAAGAAATATGTTTTTTGTCAAAATACTAATAATAGCAGTAGAGGTAACTTACTGACAGTGTTAAGTGTAATTTGCATTGATTATATTTTAGAAGTAATCCACCTGCTTGTACAAAGTAGTTTTGCTTTCACAACGAAGCACACAGCGTCTTCAGGACATGGCGGCGGCAACAATACTACAGCGAGAATAAAAGTTACGCCTTCTTTCTTTGCGTGAACATTTTGGTGGGAACATTATGCTATATCCACACAGTGAGGGAGACATGTGGGGGCGTGTTAGAACGAGGCGTTTTAGGGGGGCGTGGCAGAGTCTTAACTTTGATAAAGAATATCTCTTTGGTTTTGAGACTTTAGTCTTTGCAACTTCAGGGATCTTATCTATGCACAATCAGCTTGTAACACTCCAAAGAGAAAGGAAAACTTGAAATCACATCATATGACCCCTTTAACATAAATTGCAAACGACTTTACAGTGACACAGATACTATAATTGAATTCATACAATAATATAGACATTGGTACATTAGGAAAGCATCTAAATGCATGCATTTTCTTTAAATATTTCTCTAAAATATTTAAGGAATCTTAGGGTTTTTTGATTCTTCATAAGGTAAAGAGACTTCAGAAGTTTAAGTAATAAAAAGTGGATAACTATTTCAAATTTTTACTTATGAAAAAAAAGACAATCTATCAATAAATAGATGTAGTATAATATTGGCAGAATCAAATATATAAGAATATTTTCTT